AACATAAAGTAAAGACATAAGTGGACAAGGTGGGTTTGTCCTCGAAACTATGAGGACTCCCCAAGTCTTCATTCCCAAGCTCCTTAGAAACCTATCTTCCATGTACAAGACACCACATCTCCATACCCAACACTTTGTAGTAAATGCAGAAGAAGGGGTTAGCACAAAAAGTACTAAGTGTGGAAGCCATGCATAAAAACCATTAAAACATGCTTAAAAGGGACATTTAGTTGAAACCATGCTTTATGCACGTTTGAACATCATCTTGAAAGAGTTGAAGAATCATAAGTCATAAACAACTCACATATAGTTCATCAAAGCACAAATGGTAATAAACATCACCATAGGCATAGTCTTTAATCATAGTCATAGTGCACATATCATCTATTACAAGACACACCACTCATGCATAGTCAATATCTAGCCAATAACATCATAATAGAACAACAATGTAAATAACATCATAATAGAACAACAATGTAAGTAACCCTAAGTTTTACTTGTGCAATGCATAGATAGGGTCCATAGTCCTATCTACACTATCACCTTTAGGCCACCATGATCATACTTAACATAAGTTCATACCAACATAAGCCAATATCACATCCATACTCATTTCATAGTAAAGCCACTACTTTAGTAACCCCTAGGGAACACTTGTGCAATGTGTGATTAGCATCCCATAATCCTAACCTCACTAAGCACACCTATAGGGCTACCTTAGTCATGCACTTTATCCTTTAAACCTCATCATAAACAATAGTCATAAGTAGAGAACCAATCATGTGTACTATTTGAATATAAAGACAAGTCGCTCATAGCAACCATTCATTCAATATACATGTATGCATTCATGTCATAACAATATGTAAATGAACCATCTACCACATCCTACCAAGTCTACTAATGCAATGTATTAGTGAAGTCTCATACCCCCACTCCTACTTAGCAAACTTACCAAGAAGTTATAGAGTAGTTCATGCTCCATTCATTATCTTATTATTTAGGGAAAAATAACCTTAACCGACATAGATCATGTGAGCTACATGGAATCCAGTGTTCTACTCCTACACTGAAAAGAGAGTATTCTACTTGCCAAGGTAGAACCATCATAATAGTTTCTAGGTGGATCCACTAGCTAATACCTATGTGGGCAAACATAGTTATGGAACAAGGAGATTGCTACTAGAAACCCGGACTTGCTAAACGTAGAAGGTTTCCATCTCATGAGACAACATATATATTAGGAACCCGGACTTCCTAAACTTAGAAGGAACCCATATGGGAAGCCGGACTTGCTAAACGTAAAAGCTTCCATCTCATTTTCATGTTCACTCGGTGCTAAGCACAATTCCCCTTTAAAGTAGTATTAAGCCTTTACTTACAATTTAATTCAATAAGGAATGCATTAGGGACTCAACCCATCATTCATCATATAGCTCAAAGGTTTCAAAGATGAGAATAGCCTTTCATCATAGAACCAACAACATGTGAGAATGTTCATTCATTTCATATTCATATAGTGTTTATGAAAATTACCTTTTATTCAACATATCAACACTACCATAATCATAACATAACATTCATACTCACATCCTAGCATACATAGTCATATCTTCATGGTCATGTACATTTTATGCATAATAGTATGTAAAGGTGCATATGAGAATTAGCCTTTCAATTGACACCATAGATATATCATATTCATATTTATGCATGGAGTGTGTGTGCATGATTGTCCTCACAATGGCACAACAACAACAACATTAACATCATAGACACCTCCCTTGTCAAGGGGGTCATAACATATACATAGTATCCCAACTCATGCACAATTCCCATATATTGCATTTAAGGATATTAGACCATGTAAATCACCTATCTAACATTCATACAATAGACAAGGATACATTCATCATTCAAGTAGGTCATTCATGGCATGTATAGAATCATATATCCATATAGGGGATTATGTGGGTAGGGTCCTTCCACAATAGCACCTCATACAATTCAACATATAGATCATACCATGTTCATAACATATCATTCATATTCATAATGTATCATACTTAGTCATATCTAGGGTTGTAGGGAAGAGGGACCTTGTCTCAACACTACAATTCATACTAACAAGTAAGCATCTCCACCATAAGTGGATCAAACCATTCATACAAAGGGTACATAGTAAGTAAACATCTCCACCTCAAGTGGATCAACAAATCAATAGAAGACTACTTACCAATTGAAAACATTCATTCATAGCCATCAAGGCGTTCTTCAAGATTCAACCCTATTTTTGTGAAATTCATACATCATATAGGATAACATCACAATTCAATACTTAATTACATGAAAACATACTAGATTATCATCCTTCATTCATCATTCAAGACATACTAGGGTTTAGATTTAAGAAAGAAGTGAAATCATGGGTCTTGTGCGAATTTGTTCAAAAACCATAACAATTACATGAATTCATCCACAAACATTCATATATAATCATAATTAACCATTATAGATCAATGGAATCGATTTTAGAAAGAGATCCACGAATTTGATTGAAACCTAGAAATTGGGGATCTTTGAAAACTTTGTTGAAAGGGCTTCTTGGTGATAAGTAACCAAGAATAAAGGACTCACATACCTTAGGTGTAGATTCCCATCAACCATGAGAAATACTCCATCTTCAAGTCCTAGATGATCTCCTTCTTTGTTCTTCAATGGAGGAACTTGTAGAGAGAAATATTTGAGAGGGAGGGAATTGGGTTTGATTTGGGTCTTTAAGTTATAATGGGTTCATGACTTAGTTTAGGGTCTTATTAAATATTTATAGGAGGTTATTTAACCACTTAACCGACCCCCTAAGCCCTTAATTAATTAACTAATTTAATTTCCAAACCCCCAACTTAAAGCTAAAAGTCACAAAACTGGCAGAATCTACGGACCCCAACCTACGGATCGTCGTTTGATCTACCATCCGTAGCTTGGGTCCGTCAATTGGACCTGGGACTAACAGTGCTTCACTATTTCGGCCATACCTTTTTACTCCTCGATTGGAATTGGGTAAACTCGGTGACGTTAGAAAGACGACTCAGAGAACTTTCATTGGATAGGTAATAGCCCACCTAATTCATTTTGAGCTATGAGATTTGACCATTTAAATTTGACCCTCACTCCTAACTTAAAACTAAAAACTGTTTTTAGGGGACTATTTTGAGGGTCTTGGTTCTAAATGATTTCATGACTTAGCTTAAGGTCTAGCTAGCTTATAAAGGTGATTAATCAACTAGCTAAACAACCCCTTAAGCCCTTAGTCAATTAACTAACTTAAGACTAGAAGGCTGGAAATTGGCAGCACCTACGGTCACCCACCCATGGACCGTAGGTGGAGTTACGACCCGTGCTGTGCTCTCGTCGTTTGGTTCAGAGGCTCTTTTTTTGGGAGCCAAGCCTCCCAAGACTAAGTCCCCACCTGCGACCTTGACCTACGGTCCGTAGACCAGTCTACTAGCCATAGATGGGTCTCGTAGGTCTTGCTGTGTTTTGACAGGTTATGGGTAGATGTTGGGGTCCTCCTCAAGGACCCCTTGGGTGGTCCTTGGGGAAGTCGTACCCGGACATTTAACCCCTAAACATGGTGTTCTACATGTAGGAGTCACTTCTATAAGTTTTCACTCTTAAACAACACTCCAAACTTCAACGACAAGATCCTTACAACTCACTAGTTCAAATAACTAGTTTCCGAACGTCATGGTCGTTTCTTGACGTTTGACCCCTAAAATCACCAAACTAACTTCAATAGACTTTTTCATCATTTAAACAAGTTTCCAACTATAAACCTAACATGTGAGGTTCTAGTTCAACCTACTAGATTTAGTCAAGCCTTAGTTAGGTCTTACTAGTTCGTACGGGGTGTTACAGCATTACAACTTGTTTGCCAAATTTTTGGGGCGGCAAATTGGCGATTTCCCGACTAGAACTTCTAGCAGCCGCTACTTTCCTACTCCTCTTAGTACCTAAACAACTAGCAACATTCTTAACCTTAGGAGCCATATTTACACCCAACAATGGAAGGAAGTAGGAAAAGAAGAAAAAATTGGGGGAAAAAAGGAGGGTCAGATGGGTTTGGGGATGGTGGGTTTTTATGGGTTTTGAAAGTTTGGAGGATTAGAGTGGATTTTAAGGATTTTGAGTTGAGGAAAAGGAAGGGGTGAAGGTCTTGGGGAGAGTTAATTGAGGAATTTGGAATTTTGGGAAAGAAAGGAGATGGAGAAGATAAAGAAAGAGTTGTGAATTTAGAGAGAATTTAGAGGAGACGGATGGTTAGAGAGAGAAATAATGGGGAAAAAGTGAAGTGGGTTTTGGGTAGGTAAAGGATTAAAAGTGGGTTTTGGGTAGGTAAAGGATTAAAAGTGGGTTTTGGGTATGGGTCCCATGGAATAAAAGAATTATTCAATATTCGGATTTGGGGCATAGTTGGCGCGTTAGTGGGGCGCCAGTGCCCGAAATGGGTTGCAGTCATCTACCCCTTGGCGCATCGCGCCCATGTTACGCCTATTATCGGCGTTTTTTTATTGCCTTGGCACGTTTGGGGCGCGGGGCGTTACCAGTGCGCCCGAAATGGGTTGCAGTCAGCTTCCCCTTGGCGCATCGCGCTTGCCTGTGCCAGAACCCAAATATAAATGCCCTGGTTCTCTTTTCATATGGTTTTTCCTCCAATGACTTGTGCATCAATCAAACAATGTGACATAATAATTATGGGTTGCCTCCCACCCATCGCCGTAGTTTTGGTTGTGGCACGACTCATCTTTTTGTATTTTTCTTTATAACTTCTGAAGTCCTATCTAAATAACAAATTAAAAAATAAAAACTCTACACCTAGAAATGTGAAACTAAGCTAAAATTTCAAAATTAAGCAAAACTACTACCTATTACATATCATTCACGGGTTGCCTCCCATGTAGCGCTTGGTTTAACGTCGCAGCACGACTCAACTTGGATCATTCATCATTTAGCTCCAGAGCCTCCCGATCACAATCCAAATCAACACCAGAGTAGTGTTTCACCCATTGCCTATTTAACAAGAACGTAGGTCCAGACTCACCTTTAAGTTCAACAGCCCCCTGTTGTGTCATTCTTACAACTTCGAAAGAACCAATCCATTTAGACCTTAGTTTTTCGGGGAATAACCTCAATCTAGAGTTAAAGAGTAGTACATTTTCTCCTGGAGTGAAAGTACGAGTAACTATGTGCTTGTCATGCCACCTCTTCATCTTTTCTTTGTAAATCTTGGCATGCTCATACGCATGGAGCCTAAACTCCTCAAGCTCATATAGTTGATTCACTCTCTTTCTACCGGCCAGCTCGGGGTCCAAGTTTAACCTCTTAATTACCCAATAAGCTTGGTGTTCTAATTCCGCCAGAAGATGACATGATTTCCCAAAAACTATGTGATAGGGAGAAGTCCCTATGGGTGTCTTATACGTAGTCATATATGCCCACAATACATCATCTAACTTTTCAGACCAATCTTTCCTCTGCGCATTCACCGTTTTCTACAAAATTTGCTTCACCTCTCTATTTGAAACCTCCACTTGGCCACTCGTTTGAGGATGGTAAGTTGTAGCAACCTTATGAAGAATTCCATACTTAGCAAGAAGATTTTTAACTAGATGGTTAATGAAATGCTTACGTCCATCACTTATGATTGCCCTTGGAGTGCCAAAGCGAGTGAAGATGTGCTTCTTGATGAACTTAATCACCACCCTTGCATCATTAGAAGAAGAGCAACAACCTCAATCCATTTACTCACATAATCTACAGCCACAATAATGTATTGGTTTCCACTAGATGGCGGGAAGAGACCCATGAAGTCAATGCCCCACACATAAAAAATTTCCACCTCCAAAATGTTACTTAGCGGCATCTCATGTCTTATTGAAATAGTACCCAACCTTTAGCATTTATCACAACCCTTCACAAAAACAATAGAATCTTTAAATAATGAGGGCCAAAAGAAACCAGATTGAAGTACCTTATACGTCGTGCGCTCTCCTCCATGGTGACCTCCATATGGGCTAGCATGATAACTTTTAAGAACTTTTCGAACTTCGTACTCTAGAATGCATCTTCTCACTACCCGATCCACAACTTTCTTGAACAAGAACGGTTCATCCCAGATATGGAACTTAGTATCATGATTGAGCTTTTTCTTTGGTTGGGTGATTGCACCCGGAGGGTAGTCTCCACTTACTATCAGATTCACAATGTCCGCATACCATGGCACTTGAGAGATATCTAATGCCATCAATTGTTCATCAGGAAACTCTTCCCAGATTTGCTCACCTTTATTCACATAGGAAAAAATCCTCCAACCTAGACAAGTGATCAACTATTTAATTTTCAGTACCTTTCCTATCTTTAATCTCAAGGTCAAATTCTTGGAGAAGTAATATACATCGAATCACCAGAATTCTAATGACTTAAGCTAGAGCCAAACATGTAATCTAGTGACATAAATAAGGTTAACATGAAGATAAAAGTCATAAAATTCCCTCCCTAACCTAGTACTAATGTTTGAGGACCTACACGTCAAGGCATAGCCCCCAAGGACCCCCCAAGGTTCCTTGAGGAGGACCAAAGGGGGCTGCCTAAATTGTTGTCAAAAAATAGCTTGGTTCACGAGAGGGGTACCCATGCCACGTGGGTGGACTCACACCCCGTATATGGGAGTCGTGAGTCGAGACTCAGTCTCCCCAAACCTCCCCCAAAACCTTCAAGTTCCAGTCCCATTCCACGAGCGTACAGTACGGTCTGTGGACCAACTCACGCCCCATGGAAGGGATTCGTGAGTGAGGCATGGACCAAGGTAAAGATGGCAATCCCCAGGCCCAAACCACGAGTGACCAGTACGGTCCGTGGTTCCATCCACGCCCCATGGGTGGGGTCTCGTGGATGGGACCTGGGAAGCTGCCTAAGTCGGCCAAGGTTCAAATGTGGGACGGTTATTATTAGTTATATTCGACCTATATAAATAGTTTTCAGTCACTTAACTCAACTTAACTTCCCTCTCAAAATATTCTCTCTCTAAACTCCATTGAATAACTAGGTCAAAGCTCAAGCTAGAGGTTCAAGAACAAGTCTTTCTTCTCCAATTTCATGAGGAATTCAACCGAAGGTATTGATGCTCTTCATTCTTGGGTAGCTATCCCCCAAGAAGTCCCTTCAAAGTGTGTTTTTAAGACTTCCAAAATCTAGGGTTTTATTCTAATAATGGGTCTTCTTCCAAAACGATTTATATTATTCAATTATAATCTATTATGATTAATTATGATGGTTTATGGTTAGATTTTTGTAGTATTGATGGTTTTTGATGAAAAATATCTCTTGGACCCATGGTTTCATTTTTTCCTAAATTGGGAACTAAGATGTGACTTGAATGGTCATGGAAGTTGATAATTGATTATGTTTATGTTGTTAGGATGTTGAATCATGAAATCTCTCTATTCAATGTTGTAATTCTAGAAGTTAGGGTCGATAATGGTTCATGGCCTTGAAGGGCAATTGGCTATGGTTTGTGTATGTTGATGGTGATTCTATATGAGTATGTGATTTACTTGGATAGTAATGATCCTATATCTAATGTTGTGGTATTGATGTAAGATCCTTCTTCCCTCTACCCTAAACACTTGATTATGTATGAAGTATGTATGTATGTTTATCATGATCTTGTTGGGTTGATTGAAAATGAGTATGTGATTACTCACATGCAAATGTTTCAAGAGTGAAAAGAGCATTCTCACTTAAAAAAACCTATGAGCTATTATGATGATATGTTTACATGAGTGTCTAGTACAATCTTTCATGAATATAAACTTAAGTAAAGACTTGGTATCACTTTTAAAGGGAATTATGTGTAGCACCAAGTGGATGTGATAATGAGATGAGGGCCTTTACGTTTAGCATGTCCGGCTTCCCATGCTTGTCGTCTCATGGGATGGAAACCTTTTAAGCTAGTAGTCCGGGTTTCTAGTAGCAATCCCCATTTCCCATAACTATGTGCCCACATCGGTCTTAGCTAGTGGATCCACCTAGAAGCTATTATGAAAGTTCTACCTTAGGCAGGTAGGACACCTCTTTCCGGTGTGGGGGTAGAACACCAAATTCCATGTCCCTCAAATGGTCTATGTTGGTTAATGCAATTCTTCCCTAATGGTATGAATATGAACTATGGTAAGAACATGGACTTTAATTATGACTTCTTAAGGAGTCCTTCTTAGTATGAGTGAGGGTATGGGACTTCACTTATGCAATGCACAAGTAGACTCTAAGAGGGGTTGGGGTAAGGTTCTCTTATGATTATGATGTTATGATGACTTATGAACTATGTATGAAAAGATATAAGTATGAATGACTTCTCTCTTATGTATGTTGGCTATGGTTATGGTAAAGCATGATATGTATGTTGTTGGTGGCCTAAATGTGATACTTAGCATTTGATAGGGTTATGGGACCTTACCTTTGCATTGCACTAGTAAGGCTTTGGGTTATTTTATGTTGGTTTGATTTATGTTTCTTCATAAGTGTGCATAATGGTTTTTAAACTAGATAAAGGGACGTTTTCAACTAAATGTCCCTTTTATGTATATTTTAAGGTTTTTATGCACGGATTCCATACTTAGTACAATTCATTGTGCTAACCCATATTTTTCCTTTACTATGAGTGTAGTTCCGGTCGTTGAGACTACTACTTCTTCAAGTGAAGCTTGGGTCGACTGTTCCCTAGGCTTGGTGAGTCCTCAAGTTCGAGGACAAGATGTTATTGATTCTATTTTCTAGTTTACCTTCTATGTTCTAGACTATATTGTATTTCCTATTTTTGGAGAATTTAATTATGTAAAGGGCTTAAACCTTATTTGTACTTTTATGTTATAGATAGTAATTGAGACAAGTCTAGTTCCTATTTTCGTTATGAAAAGAAGTTGACTTATATTGTAAAAGTTTCAAATTTTTCCACATTATTCTATGTCTTTATGTGATGATTGTGCTAAGGGCTTGTATGTGACCCTTAGGCGTCAATTACGCCATGTTACTCCTAGGGAATAACCCCGGGTAATGACATACTTGGTATCAGAGCATAAAGTTTTGTGATAATTTTAGGGTTGATGTCTTATGAACCACGTCTAGTAGAGTCTTGTTCATGAGTGTGAAGCGCGCCACATTTATGAATGAGAGGCTATAAGATATTCAGGAACTTTCACTTCTTTCACTATTCTTTAGTTGTGCTTAAGAGTCGTAACTCTATGAATGTCCTTTTCCTAACCCTTTTCTTGTGCATATAGGAATATGAATACCAGAAGAGCGGCTGTAAGAAGAGTGGAAGAGGAGATTGCTAATGATGAGGGAGTTCCTCCCCAAGGTCCTCAAGGACCTCAAGATCCTCAAGCTCCTAATAATAAGGGGGCTATGACCAATTTGGAGATAAGGACAACTCTCCAAACCTTGACTCATGCTCTAACGGCTCAAGTCACTAGGGATGCTAGAGTCCAAGTGAACCCCAATGCAAGCACAACCGCTTCTAGGATAAGGGATTTCACAAGGATGAATCCCCCTACATTATTGATGAGTAAAATTGGACTCTTTTAGGGCTTTATTTTAATAGAAATAGTGTCCTTGAATGCTTGTTTTTATCTCAATACCTGATTAAAATGCTGAAGTTTCATGTATTTGAAGTTTTAGTGGAAGCATGGACACTTAGACGCAAAACGGAGCAAATGGGATGAAAAGAACAAGAAATGGAATCCTGCGGATCATCGAGTTTAACTTGGCGAGTCGCCGAAACAACATGAACTGCCCTTCGTTCCAGTACGCGAAGCCTTGAAGGAAGTGGATCAAAAGGAGAGGAAAGGAGCAGTCGGTGAGTCGCCGAACAGTTCCGCGAAGCAGTACTTTACCACCCAATGAACCAGAATGCGAGGATGCTAAAGGCAAGACACTGAAGGCGATGAGCTGACCAAAAGGTGGATCGCCGAGTTCATCGGCGATCTCGACTAATGTCGCCGAACAATCCTCCGCAACACAATCTGTGAAAACTATAAATACTAGTTAGAATTGTAGTCTTAGGAGAATTTTGGTAGTGGAACAATTATTATTGTTATTTTCACTTTAGAACAGACTTTAGCTGATATTTTTCTCTCAAGTTTGGAGAGGGTTTTGTGGAGACTTGAAGAAAAGAATTCTTCTTCCCCAAGTTGGAAGTGGGTCTTCTCTATTCATTTTCCTTTGCTAAATTTAAGGTTTAATTTCTTATACCCAGTTGTTTTCATTATCATGTTAGGTATAATTTCTTATTTCTTGATGTGTGGCTAAAAACCCCCATTCTTGGGGTGTGATTTAGCAAATACGGGTTGATATTCTTGTTGGGTCTTGCTTGCTGATAGGTTAGATGTATTTTAATGGTGATTTCACCTAGTGGTTGTAGTTTAATCTAAAGGGTTTGTAGTTGCAAATACCAAGCCACCCATGTGTTTTCGGCTTGCCCGAGAGGGAGGTTGCGAAACCAAAACCACTAGACTGATGGCTTAATGAGTGGGTTGACATGAGGTTCAGCCCGAGAGGGTTGTAACAACCCAAAAAAATGAACTAGTGAAACTAGAGCCTCACATGTGAGTTTGGAGTTGAGAACTTGATGAAATGATGAGAAATGACAGTGACATCCGGAAACTAGTCGTTTGAACTAGTAAGTTGTAAGGGTCTTGTCGTTGAAGTTTGGAGTATTGTTTAAGGGCTTAAGGGGTTGATTAGCTAGTTGATTAATCACCTTTATAAGCTAGCAAGACCTTAAGCTAGGTCATGAAATCATTTAGAACCGAGACCCTCAAAACAGTCCCCTAAAAACAGTTTTTAGTTTTAAGTTAAGAGTGAGGGTCAACTTTAAATGGTCATATCTTTTAGCTCAAAATGAATTAGGTGGACCATTACCTATCTAATTAAAGGTATCTGAGTCCTCTTTCTAACGCCACCGAGTTTTTCCTTTTCCGATCTCGGAGTAAAAAGTTATGCCCAAAATAGTGAAGCACTGTCAGCAAGGACGAGCTTAGACGGGTTTAGTGGAAACTTTTAAGTGGGTCCTTATTTCTTTTCCTAAGTTGAGCCCCTTTTATTATATGCCTTTCCTAGCAATTATAAAACCCTTCTAGATCAAATTCTTCCATTTTAAGTCACTCCATTTAGAATTAAAAAGAACTCACCTCCTCTCAAATACTTTTCTCTCTACAATCCTCCATTTTTAGAAGGTCAAGAACTTGG